TAGATAGATAGATAGATAGATAGATAGATAGATAGATAGATAGATAGATAGATAGATAGATAGATAGATAGATAGATAGATAGATAGATAGATAGATATCACTTGTCAAGGGTAGGAAGAATGACAGTGTCACCTTCAGTGCGGGGATGGGTTCCAGCAGGCATTACTGCTGGTTCACTCATGTGCATGCTGTGCACACTGCATGTGCACATGCAGTGCAATTAAAATTGTTCTGCGTATGCGCAAAACTGAAAAACAAGATGGCAGAACCGGTTCGGGGGCATGGCAGGCCTGGATCACTGCCGGTTCCAGCAATCCAGGTCACCAAACCACTGCTTCAGAGTCTGAGATCCAGGGAGCATCTCATTATCAAAAAACTACCCCATGGCAATCTTTTGCTCCTTTACGTGTTTAGAGAAAGTTATAAATGAAATCTATTCCCCCCCCCCCTACAAATACATTTAGGAATACATTTATTCTTCTAATGACATTTATGAAAAGGAACAGAACCTTCTATTCTGAGCATCTTTGGAAAGAAAAAAATCTGGGTTTTTCGGCTCCAGAGTTATTATGATTGTCATTTCTGTATTGTAGAATATTAAGCCCATCTCATTATGCTCACTTGCTCAGTCCTTATGTATGATAGAGAAAATGTAATATGGCTTGCGCTTTCAAAGCATATTATAAATAAATCCTGCTGTGGTCTTGGAGTCATACTTTATCAACAAAAGAGTAGTTTTTCGGCCTTATGTATGTATTCATTTGCTGGATATGCTGCTCCAATCTACGTAACTGATTCTGAGTGGCCTATAAAACCTTGTTTAAATTATAGTTACAATGAACTTCACACAAAAGGAATACGAAAGGAATAATCAATGGCCAAAAGTGTAGTGTTATTGTGTGTTTGTGTGTGCTCTTTCCAGCAATTCTAATTTCCCTCACCCTTTCCCCCCACAAAAAATATCTTTGGGACAGCCAAGTTCTAATGTGAATATCAATAGGAATTTGTGAATATCAATAGGGAGGGAGCTTGTCTACTCTGATGGTGTGAGTGGAGTTGGTTGGGATCCTCCTCCCCAAAAATGAAAACTATCTGAGAAGGTTTATCTCTGAATCACCACAGATGAACTTTCCTCAGAAACAGGTGGAAATTCATCATTTTGTGATAGCCAATTCATTCATTCATTCATTCATTCATTCATTCATTCATTCATTCATTCATTCATTCATTCATTTTCTATAGCTGCCCAACTCAAGTATGTGACTCTGGGCAGCTTTCTAAAATTATTAAACAATTAAAACAATTTAAAAACATGAAAACCATCAAAACATCCACAAAATATATAAACTTAATCTGTGGTGGATTGCAATGGCTGCCTCATCACATGCTTTGCCGGCTCTTAGCTGCTAGAAATGATCAGACAATAAAGCTATTATACAGGTGGGAAGATCAAATATCAAAAAATGATATTTTGAATGATTAAAGATCAAAATCAAAATAGCTTTGCCTGGGAAAAGCTATGAGTACTGACCCACATGCATACATACAGATTTTTAACACTATTACTTTAATATCTTTACACAGAAATGGTGCAATCTTGTGTATGACCCTTCAGGAAAGGCTAGAGGCTTTCAGCTCAACCATCTGGATGCAAATCATTTTAGTCATCCCCACATTGTTAAAAATGCTAATAAGAGGGCATGATGGCTCAGTGGTGAAAGAAACTGAACTTGAGATAATAAAATGTCTTAACATTGAAGTGTAGATGTTTACTGAAGAATGTAAGATATATATTGCTCCTGGGAGCACGAAGCCGAGCAAACAAGCCTGAAGATGATGAATGAGACTTCATTGAAACGTCGCCAAGACACTTCCAATCTTACGTGGGAGAAAACCCGAATAACCAAAGACCTATATGGTATGCCCAAATATGGGAGGAACCATACTGCTTCCTTTCTCTGTCTATCGGTTCATCACAAGAGACCATCCAGACAGAAAGGCATTATTTTTAATGTTGCCTTTTTGTTACATTTGTGTTGCATTTGTGCTGATAAATAAATAAAGGGAGACTAGTATAGATCTATTTCAAGCTATTAGCTCTCATCAGCTAGCCATACCCTTAATGGGATTTGAACCTGGGCTGTACAGTAAGGATAAGTAAGGGTGTAGCTAGCTGACGAGAGCTAAATAGCTTGAAATAGATCTATACTAGTCTCCCTTTATTTATTTATCAGCACAAATGCAACATATATATATATCTAATATATCTAATATAACATTTAATTATACTTACATCTGATGTTTACCCTTTATTGTCACTAGAGTTTAACATGGTTAACACGTAAGGTCCAAGATTCATATTTAACTTATTCCAAACAATTTTATGATCTTTAAAATAAGAACAACAGATTGATTATGTTTTCTATCACCAGCAAGGGAGAACTAAGAAATTTATGATTACATTCTACTATAGTCCAAGTTATCTGGCAGAGAGGATGTTGAACTTGAACACTTGACCCCAGTCAGGAAATGGCTAAAATAGTCTCACATAACTTCCATTTCTTATTTGTAAAAGGGAATGAGAGAGAAAAAAATAATAACAGGAGAGAAGAAAAACAAATAACACCAAAGCTAAGCTATGAGGAGGACCCTCGGTTGTTGCAGCTCAAAACTACATTGGCTCCCATAACAGAAGTCAATGGAACTCAGTAGATAGTTAAAAGGGGCATGGAAATAAAGGATACTTCCTAAATGCTTATTTAAACATACGTTTCAAATAAGTAACATCCTCCCAAATAAGTTAAGTCCTTTGGTCATAC